GCAGTGCGGTAGTTGGAAAGGAGGAGGAAAGGGAAGTTGACGGTTGAATTGCAAGGATGAACCTCCTCCCCTATGCTGCTTTATAGTTTTAAGGAATAAGATTGTGTGTGATAATGAAGCGGCTGCTGTCTGTCAGCATAGCCTTTTGTTATTACATATCATGTTGTAACAACTACTTTGTTTCATGTATGGTATCCTGTCAACTTTAGTTCAAATTATCAAATGTGTGCTTCTTGTTTGCTTAGACCTTGTGCAATACTCGTATTTCTTTTGTTATCAAACTAGCAAGTTGATCATAAGTTAAATTTAGTTAAATGTATGTACATTTGTTAATCCACTTTCCTCCCTCCTGCATGCAAACTTCCAATATCATGCATTTTTTCACTTTCTTTTTGCCACAACAGAAAGGAGGAAAAAAGGTTGAAATCAACACCTAGATGTGTTGTACACGATTTTTCTCTAAGACACCTAGGCTTTCGGTGGAGAAACGTCCTGGCTGAGAACTTGCGGTTGAGGGAGGTCTTTCAACTTCGACATAATAATAGTAATACTCCAACCGCGAGTATGATTACATAATTGCACTATGCAAGTGAACATAAGCGAAATCGTTGAATCAACCTTACAAAAGAAAAAATGCATGCATGCCACAACTTGTGTTTATAACGTCGAGGCGTTGTAAAAGACACTTGAACGTTATGAAAGACATCAATCGCGACAAGGTTAGAAACTCCACTATAGTAAACTACCAATCTTGACAAGGTTAGAAAACCTCACTAAAGTAAAGAATAACCAAAATCCCCTTTTAGTTGCTTAGGTCAAAGATACTAAAGTCTTTTACTCTTTAAAAAGAGATTAAAGAAATAAACACTCCTGCTTAAGAAAATATTATTTATTAATTCTCAACTCGAATGTCAACAATAACTAAGTCTACGGATCTTATTTATAGTATTATAGGCCTACATCCTACTAAAACTTTACTTCTAGTTATCTAATACAATTAGAATAATTAATAAAAGATTTAAACAAAGTAGGTGTTCTATTCCTAAAATAGAACATGACTATCCTAATCAAATACTAATTCTTAAAAGTATTAAAATCTCAACAAAAAATAAGAAAAGAATCCTAATTTAAATAGAATAAAGCAAATAAACTCCTAAATCAACTAAAA